AAGGCGCAATATCTTTGGGCGCGAATGCGGCTTTATTAACCGCAGAGCACATGAAGCGCAGGATCTACAACGCGCCGCCGCGTTCGCGCCCGCTCAACCGATACTGCTTCTCGCCTTCGTCATGCAGCAGTATGTATGAAAGCTGTGCGCGCTTATTGTCGTTTGCATCAATCCCTGCAGCGCTTCGGTACCCAACGTTTTCAGCCGCCTCGCGCGCTGATGTTTGAAGCGACGCGTGGGCAATTGGATTTTGAAGAGACTGAACCGGGTAGAGGAACGAACAAACACCACCTCAATTAGGCACCTCCTCTGCGGACTGCTGGTCCACTTCGTACATCGTGTTAGGACCGGTAGTACGCGGAGACAGTGCTCAATTCAGTTGTTCGTTTCTCCACCCGCCTGTGCCTTGCAAACAATATGATTGACTTAGATGCATCAGCTGCATCATCATCCATGAGCTTAGTTAGCTTTAATCGAAAGTGCTATAATGCAGAAGCTCCACCCGAAATTCAACGTTAAGACATAATGAATTTTAGTAAGGAGTTCAAAAGCTTGACTATAAAAAAAGCAAAAGTAGCTACAGTTCAAATGATTGTGTTCTCATATACGTGATTAACAGGAAACTTACCGTGAGCGTCCCTACAAATATGTCTTCCTGCTCGACGTATGCCGAAACACTAGTAATAGTACTTCCAATTCTTTGTCCATTCACCAAGACATCACCTTCAACGATAAGTCCACGAAGGTTGCGATGAAGTAATGCGTTCAAAAACACCGTTTTACCAGAAGCGCTTCAATTTTGATACATTAAAAGCCCAGTCGCATGCTAAACTTACTTACCTGGCTCCCATCACGGCCACTACTTCACCGGGTAGTGCAACTCCGCTTATGCCGTTCAAAATCTGGCGTCCGTTTTTGCTTCTTACTTTCATGTCTTCCCATACTACGGTGATGCGTTCCTGTGTCATTATCCGCTTCGCTGTTGACTCCAACATTAAAGCCGATTCCGTCGACATGCTTTCCTTTTGTGAGTAGTGGTTCAAAATGGGAGCTACTTTAAAGCAAAGTCCTAAGCTGCCATTTTCATCCGCGGTTTAATGGCACATTGTAAACAGCATACTTCTCATTGATTAGAAAGCAGTTGTGCTGACTGGTCCGATCTGAATCTAATCTTTGCAGCATGAATTGAAGGATTATACTCAAAACTTACTTGCGCAGATGATGTTTTTTTCACCCATACAAGAAGCAGAGACGAGCAGCAGCTTATCGTAAAGCTAATTTTGATAGCGAGTATATCAAAACAACCAGGGACGCTCACCCTGCTGTTAAAAGATTATGTAAAAACAGAGGATAGATCATGTGTAATGTAGTTTTCGTCTAGTCTCGACATTGTCTGCGCCTGCTTTGGCGGATCGCATGCTTCCCGCATTCTCTAGCATCATACTCCTTGCATCAGCTATAGATATCTCACCACGTTTTACGTCGCTACATCACTCGATAATGAATATGTGCTGTATGGCTGCCATGGCTTTTAAAAGGGCTCAGCAGTAGTTGATGGACTCTTCAATTTTTTGAAAAGTGCGAAAAACGGACACGATGAAAGGTTAGTTGATTCGCGAAAGTAACCTACTCATCCGTCACGTCTCATTGTCAGTAGAAACAATATTATCATCGGTTTACATGCAAAATTCAAGTGCACAAATATTCACCGCAAAGTTACTTTGTGCTTTGATCACATGCTTTACGAAAGTTGAAGCATCGGTATGATCTCGTAAGTTGGTAAAAGTCCGGCTTATAGGTAGACAACGCTGTCACAAATGTTTGGTATGCCCAGAAGAAATAGTTATTTCAGCTGGCTGGCCATCCGCCAGTTTTGCTTGTATGATTTAAAAACACTACCAACCGTTAGCATGTTGTAATTTCATCACGGAAATGCATTCCAACCGTTTTACATTCGCTATGATCAAAAATTACATACTTTGAGCCCTGCACTGCCGTCTTTATTTCCCATAACTTTAGACTCGTCAGGGAATGAAAGCTATTCATTGCACCTTGTTCTTTTATACTGACCTTGTAGCATTTCTGACATTAATGTCTAGCTCTTTCAGCGGTCAGCGTGGTCAGCGTGCATTTACAGCAGAAAGCTGATCATCCAGCCTTTCTATTTTGTGAGTTTACGGTAGGAACTTCCAGCATACTCAAAAGAGTTTCTTCATGAAATCGACGAGAGCTCTACAAAATGGTTACCTGGATTTCGACAAAAGACTTTGTAAAAGGATAACCATAAGGTTTCAAGTATTTTGGGGCAAATTGTATATCAATCCACAGCTCTCAATGGAGGGTGTATATTAGGTCGGTTCGAAAGTTGTCGTTTAATTTTCGAAAT